TCATTCTGGTTGTGCATAATAGGAGCGTGCAAGCCTCAGTGCTCATAGAAATAGGCCACGTGGCTTGCGCGCCACACTTTGGAATCGGTATGTTGAATAAGAGAAAATTATTATTCCATGTATGAATGGAATCTGATATTTTAAACCACATTTCAAACCACCTTTGTCGATGGTTTGAAGTTAAATACAAATCTGATTCCTGGCCATGCGACTTGTATCTGAACACTGATTTATGTTTTAGACTGTTATTTGGCATATCTTGTTGCTTGCTAGCTACTCTGTTGACATTTGAACAGGAACATGACATGGTAGCTAACTTGTTAATTGTTAACAAACAAATTACGGAATGTGCTAGAAAGCTAAACAGCTACCTAGCTAGCTAGTTGACTGCTGTGGCTAGCCAAAAATGACTTGTTTTGAAAGCTGGATCATCTTATCCTTTGAGTCTTTAAAAGTGTTTTTACACTATGATTTTTTAACATTCAAAGCAACTGGGAAACGTCCATGGCAGGCATTGTTGTCACCTTAGCTTGCTACATAACTTCTGAGAGATAGGAATCACCAGCAGCACCACCACCAATCAGCCTACACACCCGTCGTTACTATGACAACTAACGTAGCCATGTCGGCAGCAAATGACTGCTGCCTGAACACACATAAATCAGATTTGGTCACTTGTAACTTGCTGTTTGGACCATCAGTATTCTAAAACGGATTTGAAAAACAAAACTGATTTAGCATTAAGGTCTGCAGTGTGAACAAGGCTTTTGCGCTCCTGTTAGACAGATTCCATTTGGTTTCTCAAGGGGTGACTGTGCAGTCTTGCCCTCTACCTGTGTCCGTTCAGATAGGACAGGTTACGCCTGATACAGAGGTTGTTTCTTTTGTGCTATTGCCCTTGTATATTTCGTAAATCTACTTGTATATTTTGTATGATATGGTGCTTTCATCATTGGATCACCAAGACCAGTAAATAAATCTACATTCCGAGCAAGTCAACCTGCCATTCCTTCTGCTGATTCCATGCCCTTATGACTGCTACAAGGTCCCTATTTTACAATTTCATAATCAAAATGTGTTGTTGACAAAAAATGAAAAGGCTGTCTGGTAGCCTATGCTCAATAAATAGACAAAGATTTTTAGTTGAACAAGCCATTGCATGTATAGATTTATTTTAGGCTACTTGACTTGAGACTTGACTTGCTCTTAGAATGCATGTACTTGACTGGAGACTTGACCCCTTCTAGTCCTACTTGGGACTCGACCCCTTCTAGTCCTACTTGGGACTCGACTTGAGACTTTGACCTTATGACTTGAGACTTGCTTGTGACTCGAATAATAGTGACTTGGTCCCACCTCTGCAAGTCAGAGACCACTATGATGACACACCAAATGCGTTTGATGGATTGCGGGAAAAGAGCAGGAATAAAGGCTCTGCAAGGTCAATCCGACATCTGCTGTGGCCGTACAGCATTTACTGTGATATGGCCTCTGTAGAAGTCAAGGCATTCATGCTTCTTGCGCTTTGCGGAGCATAGCTGTTGTGAAGGAAGTTGTCAAGGAAGTGAGTTTGTGTTTATACATGCCTCAGGAGGCTCCGCAATTGGGTCACACCCTCCATAGAGAGCCTAAGACCACATTTTCAGATCAAGCATAAATTGGTTTATAGGCTACAGTCCAAGCTATGTTTTCCAATGGTGCGACTGCTGTCAGCATCCAAAGATGATCCAAGTTGAATAAACGCTTGGAGGTAAGGACGACAGCAATGATGTAGCCAACGGGCGATACGGATATAACTTATTATTGATATCTACATAGCGCATTGATGTGAATCACACTGCTGCTCTCTCATTTAGCTTTTTGCACCTTACAGATTGTGGTTGTTGTAGACGGCTGTGTTCACAAATGTATATGTGTATTTTAACCCAATAATTGTTGAATTTAAGAAGTTTAAGCTGCCTATCAATCATTGTTTTTGTGACCAGTGGACAGCCAGTGAAAAATGCGCTCTTGCAACAGATGCATAGTGCGGATCCCAGCCTATGGAATAAAGGTTTGAGGGAGTTCCTGCCTTCTAAACTCCTCTGTGGTATTGTATTTCAAACTGGCAAAAACAAGTTTAATTTAAGAAGACCTCAAGTGGGGCTTTTATTGCTCAATCTAATTTGTGTTGATTAAAAACGATGTCCATAAGATTGACAGACAAATGCTCAAACTCGATAGACTTAAAGTGGCAATCTGTAGTTGCTACATCAATTTTTTGACTTATAAATTAATGAGATATACCCATTGATTCTTGAAGAATTTAACTTATAAATGCCTCATGAGCTTAGTTCAACTGTCACACCCCATGAGAACCCAAATAATAGGCTTGTTGTTCTCCAATGTTTGTAAACAGTGTAAATGTATACACTGTATATCTTCAACATGGTTAAAACAATCATTTTTATATCATGAATGGTCAGTCCTTGCATCCATAGCTCTGTCTATTAATCTGAGAGTGGTTACATTTCTCAGGGACCCAACTCTCAGCTTTTTTTTTTTTTTTTCCTCAACTGTGGATTCACCCTTTAAACAGCTGCAAATTATTTTTGTCACCAACAAAAACGTTAACAATATGCCTATAGCAAATGTAGCATATGGCATTAATTTTTCACATGCACATAGCACTTTTCGGTAGTGCTCAAAGCATCCCATTAAATGAGAGCAGAATTTTTTCCTCATATGAACTGTAACTCAGTAAGATCTTTGAGATTGTTGCTGTAGGCCCAGCATTCAAGACCAAAATTGGTTAAAGAAAATGGTGATGAATAAAAAAGTATACCAGTTTCATTGAAGGACCCCAAAAATGTACAGCTGCACCATACAGGTTGCAAAATCGTTGGGAAGAGATTTTCCATGTACCGATTCCATGGCACATTGTTTATGAACTGATACACAAAACGACGCCAGATATATATATATATATATAGGGGATACAACCATCCCAGCTCTGCAGATTTTGCTGCGAAGAGACAGAATCATTAGATCACTTGTTTTGGTACTGTCCATATGTAGCTTGTTTTTGGTTGCAGGTTCAGGTATAGCTGAAGAATTATAACATTTATCTGGAGCTAACTCTGCAAATAGCACTGCTGGGTGATTTGAAAAGTCCTAGTCAATCGATCAATAATATAATAATACTCTTAGCAAAAAAAAAAATCTTTTTTTAACAATCTGTAGAAACTATGAGAATAGAAAGCTTCATGTCCTGTCCATTCCACCCTGTGTGTGTGTGTGTGTGTGTACACTTGTGATGAATGTCCATTCCCAGTCCATCTCCTCTTCTCCACCACACAAGTGTAGATGTTGGAATGGTGCGATGAGATCGATAAGGTCCTGCAAGAAAAAGATGGCCAAGACCAGCCTTTATACTAGCTGATTTACAAACATGTCTGTACTGTCTCTTTCATGTTGTATTTAATGGTAGGGTAACAACCAGGGACCATACTATTTTGAATGACTAGTCTGGGTGATTTTAATATAGGCCCTAATTGTTGAATGGGCTAGACAGTTGATATGGTGATATCATGACCTAGTGTGTAACTTACCCTGTTCCTTTTCTCCATTGCCCCTGGGCAAGTGTTGTCTCCCTCTTCATAATCCTGGGGACATTGTTTCTCAAGTTAATGTGTTGTAGACTTTTGGCCCAAATGTTTTGATGCATGAAGTTATATCATGTCATTAACATGAAATGACTGATTATGACAATGTCTGACATAACTGCACAAAATATGCTATCTTCTTTGTGTGAAATTAATGAAAGTATACTTGACAGAAGATTACTTATCTGACAGTGGCATTCCAGCCGGTCGTATGTGGCATTCCAGCCGTTTGCTTGTGGCTTTTCAGCCGTTTGCTTGTGGCTTTTCAGCCGTTTGCTTGTGGCTTTTCAGCCGTTTGCTTGTGGCTTTTCAGCCGTTTGCTTGTGGCTTTTCAGCCGTTAGCTTGTGGCATTTCAGCCACTAAAGTTTGTTCGCGCCCTTACGGCCATCAGAAAGGTAGAGTGTAGAAAGAGAAGCTCACAGAGAAATAGTAGAAATAACAACAGTCACAAATAATTAATAATACTGAGTCTTGTTTTTCTACAACCACACACACACACATTACATTACATTACATAATACTCTTAGGGCTCTATTCAATCCCTATCGCGTAAATTCAGTGTTACAGCAAATTTAAAGGCAATGTTCCCGCTAGTAGACTGCATTCACGGTAAACGCTGCAAATGTCGTCACAATAGGAAATTACCTACACATTTCTAGAACGCTATTTGTAACACTCCAGCGATAGATTGAATAGAGCCTTTATTATCAATCACATAATACTTCCTGTACTTTAGTTTTGAACCGTTCATTTTACATCTACTAGCTGCCTCAGATTACCATAGGACGGTCTCCTCTAGGTCTTGTCAATTGGAGCTTCTTGGTGTTTCTGTAATGAAGCTGACTGCAGTAGAGGAGAAAAATAATATACTTTGTCATTTGCATGTCGTGCCACTCCTGGTGGTTAGGAACCAGAAAAACACTGCCTTTAGGTAGACCGAGCCCAAAACATCTTCCTGTTTGCGAACATATCATCCTTTTAGCACCTCACCATAGAGGCAAAATCAACTGAATTTCTAAAGTCAAAAGCAGATTGAAACAATGTTTCAAATTGACTTTCTTGCCATCATGAACTTCACATAAATGTATTTCTATATTCCAAAATGTATGGTTACTTCATAGATTGTTACTTTAATAATTACAAATGTGAGAAAAAACAAATAGCTAATAAAATCATCTAACTTACCAACAAGCAACACGTCTTGAAAGAACTCAAGTTATAATGCCAGATAATCTCTTCCTAAATGGAACTGATTTCCTGAAACCCTCTTGCGTTATTTATGCCCTAGCCACCCACGTCATATCGGGGGAAATGGTACCCCTCAACCATAATCAAAACTGAAACTTGTTTCACAGGCCTATATAATATAGATTCAAAGATGGCCATTTTATGCATGTTTAATTTAAGTGTTTTGAATACTGATATCTGGTTTATTCATATTAATTGAACAGGTGATGGCAATATTAGTGGTGGAAGTGTGGTGTTTTAATCCATGAAGCTTTTACAGTATAGTGACTTTGTAATTTATCATATTTTCTCCTGGTGGATTATAGAAATGTGGGATTCTAAAGCATATCCTATATAATAGATAATGATCACTTTGGGACAAAAGAAACTGAGGGAACAGTCTTACTCCACAGTTTTAATAATGATTTATACATTAGTTGTAGTTGTACCCAGCAAAGAAATCATACAGTCATCATCTCTGAATGTCATAGTTTTACATTTCATGTAACATTCCTGGATTTTTTCTCTTAATCTCCTAGATGAAAAGTGAGGAAATTGCCCATTGCTTTTTATTTTAAATTTTTAACAAAAATCCTGAATTGCCACAGTTACTGTGATTGGAAAATGATTGGAAAGGCAACAGGCTTTTGAACCTTGAGGGAGAAGTCTACCACGGGGCAACCCTGGGTGATACAGCCCAGAGAGATTATGTCCACATGGGGGGAGAGATACTGTGGCAGGGAGTCTGGGGTCACCCCTCCACTGGCCTCGATCAGCACAGACGGGAACTCCTCCTTCAGAAGCTGTGCTGCCGCATGGAGTTCCTGAGAGAGGAAGGGACAGAGGAGGAATAGAGGCCGAAAGGGACGAGTTCGGGAAGAGACCGTGTAGGAAAGAAGAGATTGAACGAAATGCACAGCACTGACACACAGGAGGAAGAAGAATATTACTTTAATTGATAGTCCAATGTACATGAATGTCCAACGGAAATATGTCTTCTGCTTTATCACAAGCCCTCCAGTACGTCTCTACCGCTTCTACATGACTTCCCTGATGTCTTTGGGATGTCCTTCATCAGTCTCACCTGTGGCTTAAAGTTGTCCAGCATGACGATGTCAGCTCCTGCCGTGGCAGCCTCACTGCCCTCCTCCCGGCTGCCGCACTCCACCTCGATCTTACTGCTGAAGCCACACACAGAGCGGGCGTCCCTCACCGCCTGGAAACCCACACAGGTAGGAATTACATCAAATCAGTTCTCTATCAGAATGCAAAATGTATCTCTATTCAAAATGCACAGAGGAAAGACTTCAGCTAAGCACTCGTATTAGAAAATGGCCAGATCTAATTGTACATATTGGAATATGAAAGACATGGACATTCTTGCACTCTGATTTTCATGCATTTGTGAAAGGATTTCAGAGGAATCGACAACCACAATATAGTATAGGTTGATGTCAAATGTTGAACAGTTTGAGCCATCCACCCCTGCCTACCTGTGTGACACTCCCTGATGCCCATATGTGATTGTCTTTCAGCATCACCATACCACTCAGGTCCTGTCTGTGCATGGACACGCCGCCCACCAGCATGGCATACTTCTCCACCAGCCGGAACCCAGGGGTGGTTTTACGCGTGCCAGCCACATGGCCATGCCAGCCTGCCTCCCTGGCGATGCTCTGTAGCTGGGAGCAGCGGGTGGCTATCCCCGAGGCCCGGGCCAGGCAGTTGAGGGCCGGTCTCTCACCGAGGAGGACGCACCTTGCTGGACCTCTGACCACAGCAGTCTGGGCCACCGCATCTGGACCTGGTGGAGGTGAGGTCAAAGTAGAGTTTACCTAAAAAATTACAAACATCATGTGAGTGAACTGTATTTAATGGTTAGATTGGAATCTATTCCAACTGAATTTTGTGTATGCCAGACTCAAAGCTTGTTTCCCCAATACCTTCTCCAAATGAATTTGGCAGTGTGATCAGACTTGAGGTGTATTGTCATCATATTTGTGAGGCATCTGTGTATTCTCCAAGTCCTCCAGCATGCTTTTTGACCAGGCTCATAGTTGTTCTCTTACCCAGCTGTGCCCCCTCTCTGTGTGCCCATTCCACAGTGCAGCTGAGCTCAGTGAAGACAGCAGTGAAGAAGGGGCTGCCTGCCAGCACGCTGCACGGCGTTTTACACAACAACCTGGCCTCAACCTCATGTGACCCCACACACAACCCTGCAGGGTCAAAGTTCGGTGTGTCCTCTGCTAGCCACTCCCGTGCCAGCCGGGTCAGCGTGTGGGGAGGGAGGGTGTGTGACAGGTCATACTGAGGAGGAGTCATCTTGAGAGGTGAGGTCAAATGTGACGCCGGGAAGTTGTTCTGTTAAGAACGGAGAAAGGGGGTTAGTTCTAGTGCTTTAATCTGTCTATCCACTGATGATAGTTAACAGTTTGTAGTTTATTTGTACCAATAAACTGTCCTGAGTTCTGGTATGAATGAATCCCTGCACTCAATGTGTTTTTTCGACCTGTTGCTTTGTAACAGTGTCCCTCTTCAGGTTAAGATTAATCACAAATGAAGAACGCCGGTGTGGGGGCTCAGAGGAGAATGAAAATGGCCGTTTTGGGGGCCTCAAGGGGGCTGATGTGTTAGAAATGCCAAAGCCGATTTCTGGTCCCAGTCGGCCCCTGCCGGTGTGGTGATATAACTCAAGACCCTGGTACAAGTTCAGAGTGCAGATTGCAAAGAGCGCTCTGTAAGCCACACCCCAGTGGGCAGAGCTAGGCATGTTGCTTGTGCACATTTTAGTAAGGAGATCTCAAATGGAGATAGAATCTCATTTTACAGTGGGTCTGCGGTGGTTCTGTGTAGTTATGCTAATATATCTGAGTCAAGTGCATTGCAGTCAATCTATGATCAATAAGAAAGATCTTAGGGATGCTCTCACTAACCCGTTTTCTATTTCTCTGAGTCTCCCCACCCGAGGCTCTAGGACAACGGCTGAGGGCACCCTGGCCGACACCTGGACGTGCCTGCCCCCCTCCCCTCCCCTCTATCTGCCTGTTGCTGCCTCCACACAGAAACTTGGATTTCTTTACTTACCATGACATCTTTATGAACAGCCATCTGACCATAGGGTCTTGAAGTGTTTGTACCCTCTATAGCCTAGCTATGGATATTGTCTGAGCTTGCTGGTCATATATGACCGTGATTTAATACTGGATGGAAAACAGACTGTTGCTCTTTCCTTATTGAAACGCATGGTGAATAATGAGGGCGACTATGTTTTCAATGTGTCAAGTGTATGCAATGCAAATTACAATAAAGATTGCGATTGTGAATTCATTGTATGTTTTGTACATTCCGATTGGGCAATTCTGCTCATTGACCTGGTTGTCTTCATTGTTGCCAATAAGACCTTATTGTGAACCTTGTCCTGTCTCTGTACATTGATTTATCACCACAAGAATCCTTAATACACAATCATCCAAGTTAGGATCAATAAACTGCTACAACTAGGGTTAAGGTCAATTCCACTGAAAAGCAATGCAGAATCATTTGAACACTGCCTATCATAACCCAAGATCTAAAGCTGTATTAGTTCATATTAGACCATCTATAAATCTGTTTTATGAATTTGAATGGTTATATTTTTCTAGCCTATCCCACAGTTTACAAAAACGTGGCAGGGCCAGGCTGTTGCAATAGGAGAATATGGCTATTTCTGTCAATGAATGACTGTTTGAATAAACATCCTTTATTCTGTTTGTGTGTGTACCTTTGTGCACTTGTGTGATGGATGGATCAATGTTAACAATTGATAAATTGCAAAAAATTGAATGACACCTAATGACACCTGGATCTTTATATTCTAAAGTTTCTGAACAGTCATGTAACCATTGGAAGTGTTTTTGTTGCCATGTAGGCCTAGTATTTAGCCTTTGTTGGGGTTAACCAAGGGGACTGTAATTCCTTAGGTGCTGGTAGCTGAAGATGTGTTAGCTCTCAGGTGAAGAGGCAGTGAGTGACAGACTGTGGACAGTGGACACACACATGTACAACCTGTGTTCAACACAACTTATCAATAACATAAATACTTATCAAGTGTCGAAATTCATCAAAGTACTACAAGTCAACTGTGATTCCACGGTCTAGCATCTGTGCTGTCCCGTGTGGCTCACTTGGTAGAGCATGGCACTTGCAACGCCAGGGTTGTGGGTCCGATTCTCATGGGGGACCAGTATGAAAATGTTTGCACTCACTACTACTGTAAGTCGTTCCCTTAGCTCTACCCAACAGACTGGGTAAAGGCGTCAGCATGATTCAGTTTGGCTGGCGCCTAGCTGAACCGAACGAGTGTGCTTGCATACTCCCTTAAAATACCTTTTGCTTGAAAAAACGAGAAAGAAGCGGAAATAGTACCGTTTGTCCATTTTGAGATGCCGTAGCATTGTCAGAATTAATCTAAAATAACTCAAGTAATTGGTTATTAATTGTAAAGTTTTTGCCGAGGATATATTAGTTGCACAATTTTACATCTAAGATGTTTGGTGCAGTATTTCTCAATGAAAACATTTGCATGAAAACGAGTCATCTCACATTGAATGACAGACTTTATTGAATAATCCCTACTGTTGACCTATCACCGATAAAGGGGCGTAGACTTCGGCTCCAAACTTCGGTGAGGGTCTTTTCAGCTGTTCGGGCACACAAAACCGAAGTCCAAAACAAAACAAAAACGTCACAAAATGTAATCATAATATATGCACAAACTCTTCCGAACAGTTTCGGAATGGGAAGTATGCGGACATCTTAAGGCACATCTCTGATATTAAGAGATCTCTACCTTTAGTAAACTATTAGTCACACTTCCAGTTCACAATTCCATTTTACATAAGCTTTTATTTTACTTGCTATACAACAGAGAACAAAATGTCCAAATCAGACTGTACAAAACATACAATGAATTCACAATGGCTGTCTTTAGCGTAATTTGCATTGCATTCAATTGACACATCGAAAACATAGTAGCCCTCCAACTATCAATTTTCCATCCAGTTATAAATCAAGAAGTGTTATTGGGCCAAGTCTAGGAGACGCCACAATTTCCACCAGTGTTCTTTTGTGTGAAAAGTACAAAGTGTGTCTCTGACAAGGGTCAATTACAATGTGAATGTAATGTCCATCAGGTCTCTCTTGTGAACGAGCAGAATTTATTCCAAGCACTGGTGGTCACTAGATAAACAACGCCCCCCTTAGGCAGATATTGTTCTATTGAGAACTGTCTGGGACTTATTTCCCTGTTTGCTACTAAAATATATTTTATTTATTAAGTTAATAGACAAAATTAACTGCAATACACATGGTCTGAAATAAATTAGCATAACTACACAGACCCATTGTAAAACGAGAGGCCTATCTTGGTAATATAATGTGTCCCAGTGCACAAGCAACATGCCTAGATAGGCCCGCTGGGGGCGTGGTTTACGGAGCGCTCTTTGCAACGGCAGTGTTCGATTAAGGATTAAGCTGAGCCGAGGTGCACCGGTCTATGGCCTGTGAGGTGAAAGGGCAAAAGTGGTGAGGAAGGAGCGCTCTTCTCAAATCAAACAGTAATCTGCGCCCCTCCGGTCATCTTTCAGCATGGTCTATCGTTCAGAAATATACATCTCCTTTCCATAAAAGGCAGATTGGGAAGGCAGAAAGTGTCTATCTTCAATAGTAATCACTTTTGCATGTGAAAACACAGAATCCTACTCATTACAGTGCAGCCAACTTTTGAAGAAAGCTTGGAGAGATTTGCTATTTGAATTTCATTGCCATCTGGCACAACCCCTAGATGGGGGACTGGGGGGGTCCTCCCTCAGGAAAATGTTACTGTTTTAAAGCTCATTTCCTGCAATTCTACATATTTTGACATGGCTTAGGCCTATGAGCAGGGCGGATTTTTTTTTACAGGTCAAGTGTAATCAGGATGCTTTGAACATTAAATGAACACTGAAAAATCTATGACTTTGTTGCTTTGAGATTTTTTAGGGATCAAATTTAAAGAATGCAAATATTTTTTTAAACATCTTTTATAGTTGGTTTGACACTTTCTTCAGACAGTAATTAAATGAGCTCGGGAGACAGGCAAATGCTAAAAACAGTGCACCAAGGCTCTGCACAGGAAATTGTAATATTAATGGTTGATGGCAGTGGTTAACCAAATCATAGATTGCAGTCTCGTTGTCCATAGACTGATTTCAAAAAAAATATGTATTCACTAACTGTAAGTCGCTCTGGATAAGAGCGTCTGCTAAATGACTAAAATGTAAATGTATTTGAATCTCATTCAAAACTGTCCATGAATGGCAACAATGTATAGACTCATATAATTCATTTTCAAAGACAACTAGGCATATCACATTTCAAATATGTGATTATACTGGTAAAACCGGGAAGAAGTGGAATAATAAAATAAGTGTGGGGAATAACAGTAGTTAGTCTATATTGTAGCCCATTGTTAATGAGAATCATTCCACTGACCAGACTAAGTAAATAGATAAAATTTCCTGAAGACAAGTTGACAAAATCTGCCACAACACCCTAACCAAATTATTTGTATATTAATTGTCATCCCTGTAGAATCAAAATGGACACTTTTTGTTTCACAATCTGTTTGACAAAATAATTTTTCATAGTTACAAACATGCCACCCTACCAAACCAAATCATACTGTAGGTCTGTCTGCTGTGTGGATTAAATCGACTTTAGTACATGCGGTCCAATATTATTATTATTATTATATTAATTAGTCTCCTGAGTGGCGCAGTGGTCTAAGGCACTGCATCGCAGTGCTAACTGTGCCACTAGAGATCCTGGTTCGAATCCAGGCTCTGTCGCAGCCGGCCGCGACCGGGAGACTCATGGGCGGCGCACAATTCGTCCAGGGTAGGGGAGGGAATGGCCGGCAGGGATGTAGCTCAGTTGATAGAGCATGGTGTTTGCAACGCCAGGGTTGTGGGTTCGATTCCCACGGGGGGCCAGTATAAAATATATATATGTATTCACTAACTGTAAGTCGCTCTGGATAAGAGCGTCTGCTAAATGACTAAAATGTAAATCTGCAATAATAGGGACAGGAGTAACAGAAACCTAATTTTGTTGACAACATTGTATATAAAACAGCACTCCTGTGCTGGTCCTTTTACAGTTTTATACATTCAGCAGAATACGTTCTCTCTCGCCATTCAGCTCCACTCTAATCTTGAGGGGCGTTTCTTTACAACATGCATCCAATCCCCTTGATCCCTTACATAACTAGACCTGCTAGGTATGCTTCAATGAGCCGCGGTTCACAGTGCTGTGGCAAGACAGGACAATGAGAGAGATTCTGCTCGTGATGCTAAATTGCAGGCGCAGATGCTCTCATAACAAAACGATTTGGAGCACAGTTGAACAGTTAACGCGCTGACTAATTATAAAAATAAATGCAGTACTTTTCAATGCGTGAGATATAAGAGATGTGCCGTGGGAGTGTGAGAAGAGGGTCAAATGCGCATGTCTCACGGTCAATGCGTGAGAATTGCAGCTCTGTCATTTCTCCAAGTCCTTAACCCACGTCCATTTTGTTTTGAGCTGAATTCACCGTTGGCCAAAGCGAACGCAATCACCTTTAACCCATCTACCGGGCAACCGGGCCAGACAATCCAATCCTCTCAGTGTTTCCCACTACATATAACAGCCAGTCAAAACACCTCGTAATGTCCGACTTGCTAAGTGGTTGCTGCCGCACGTGTATAAACACATCCAGTTAGCAAGTCGGAGATTTCCCGAGTTTCCTTGTTCCGAATCCCACGTGAAAGCGGCAAAAGGGGAAATTAATGGGTCTGTGGTAAACACAGGCTTAGGAGATCTTATGTTTTGTTCTATAATATATTCTTAATCAGCTAACGCTTGTGTAGTTTGAAGCATGTATGTAATCAAAACAAGCACATAAAGGCTTCCCAACTAATAAAGGTCTGATAGTCTCATAAAACAAAAAGTATAAGAACTCCTAAGCCTGTGTTAACCTTAGACCTTATTTTCGGTGTTTATCCCGAATCCCTATTCTTTCCCCATATGAATAGCTGAACGAAACAGAGGTAACTCATTTCCGGTTTTTAGGACAACAAAAGCTATACGGGCGCGTTCCTCTGCCCAGGCGTTGGTCCCGTGTAGCTCAGTTGGAAGAGCATGGCGCCAGAGTTGTGGGTTCGATTCCCACGGGGGGGCAGTATGAAAACGTATGCACTCCCTAACTGTAAGTCCCTCTGGATAAGAGCGTCTGCTAAATGACTAAAATGTAAATGTTGCTGACGCATGCCATATCTTACAACGGCTGGATAGGTATTTTAAGTATCAGCTAACCATATCATATGTTTTAGCAATCTGTCAGTCGATGACGTTTTACGCAACAATTGGTTTGGTTAATGTATGCAACGTCTGGGAACAAGACCTAGCTATTGCCACGTTTAAGATAACTGGGAACTTGGAAAAAAACTATCCTGGACTGGGAAAGGTCGTTTTAAACGGTAATTCCAACTCCAAATCGGAAACTCGGGTATCTTTCTAGAGCTCTGAGCATACGTCACCACAACGGGCCCAGATTTTATTTATTTTGTGAACGGCGATCATTGGTCGAAATGTAGTAATCAAGCATGCTATATTTATTTTTAGTTGTCTTCTCTTATCTTCTTCCGAAATCCTCACCTGCTTCCTCAGAGCCGACTGAACGTTGGTGCTCTTGATGATGTGGATATCTCTGCACTCAATGTGCTTTTTCGACGCGTTGTGTTTTTTAACAGTGTCCTTCTTCAGGTGAGGATTCCCCACCACAAACGAAGAAAGCTTGCCTGCAAGTTGTGGTTCGGCCTTACAATACTTGCAAAACATAACATTTCCTTCAAAATGCAACCACGGGAAAGCTTTCTCCCACTGTGCGTTATATTTGTATTGTTTCCCACCGGCAGTTGTTGGCGAAGCGGGGGCAACGCCGGTGGCAGTGCTAACGCTACTGCTAGCCGAATCTTCATCTTGTGTTGCTGGTGGCTCGGCAACATCGACAAGATCACTGGCAGATTCGGACCCGGCCTCCTCGGGTTCCTGATGACCTTGTCGCCTAAAATTTAATTGGATGCTTTTCATTCTCCTTTACAGTTGCGAGACAAAACGGGCGCACTCAAAGGCTCGCGGTTTCAGCCTCTGACTAGGCTATGATTGGCGCGTTCAGCTACGCAAGCTTGAACCTGGCTACGATTGGCTCGTTGAGCTGCGCCTTGAATACGAAGTCCCACCTACTTCCGGGTTCAAGACCCGTACTGTTTAATGGACTTCAAGCTTATATCGCAGATAGAACAATGAGACAGATATTTCACCGGATGTATAAATGTGACGCATCCGCTTTGCGTTTCCACTCACTACCAAATATGGGAGGAAGCCCAGTGGCCGGCAGTGGGAGAAGATGGAACGAGTTGGATTTTGACCGACATTCTGCAAATGTTCTCATCGATGAAACCTTATCTCAATACAGTTCTGTTTCCAAAACTAAACTATGTTACGAACAGAGTGGACTACGTTTTGTAGACTTTACCCTTTGCCAAAGTTTCAAAAAAATTGGGTTGTTTAGAAGGACTGCAAAGGCGAATTCAGTTATCGCACACGTGCACTTCAGAGTTTGCGTTCCCTAACGGAAATATGTAAATATATGCTAGAACGCGCAAATAGGAACTCAATATCTGCACACCTCCTTGATTTTCTGCCCACTATGACGCATTTGTTCCCATTTGAAACAACAGGCTGTGGTCCATCTTGGTTTAGTTATAAAAAGTATTTGGTTTGGTTATAATTTTTTTGTTGCTTATTATCAAATTCATGAAAACTTGGTCATTTAAGATATGTAGAATTATATTCCTATATTATATTTACTTCTACCTAATATAGTTTTTTTCATATTCGAAAACCTTCATAAAAGGCATTGGTTAAAGGTAAATTAATCCATGAATACGAATATTATTTTACATATCTTAAATTATAAAATTTTCAAGAATTGTATGATATACGCCAAAAGCCCATTTAAAAACAGTACAGGTATACATGCTATGAAACAAAACAGCAGGTATAAACCGCAACTCGCACATGTGCTCATAACTCTCACGTGTATAACTACAACCAGTTAACAAGTCGTAATGTCAGAGTTTCCAAGTTCCGACTAATATGTGAAAGCAGCATAAGTAAGATCCTTGGGACGTCCACCAGAGCATCTACAGATAACTGGTGGCAGACTAATAACTTCCTCAAACTAAAAGTAGTTCCGAAAGAATGTTAAGTTAGGTTACTCTTAGCTCAAACTCTAGGCAGCATTCTTCCCTCTCCCTGCAGTTCTCAGCCATTAGGTTCGCCCATGACTGCCTCGTGAACTACAATCATGACGCTGTGCTTTAACGCTTAGAAACGTCAATAATTATCCCTTGCGATACGGATTCCGAAACATATGATTTTACATTTAAGTCATTTAGCAGGTTCTTATCCAGAGCGACTTACAATTAGTGAGTGCATACATTTTCATACTGGCCCCATACATTTTCATACTGGCCCCCCGTGGGAATCGACCCCCCCCCCCAAAAAAAAACCGGAAAAAAAACTAATGTGCATTTTACAAGTTCTTACGTATCTCCGGACCTACCCCAACACATTTTATAGGAATGTTTACGAAACAATTGTTGTGTACTTAAACACTATTCAACAATACACTAAATCAAATATCCAAATTAAATTATTAATGTAGATATACAATAGGCTACAGAGGAATGTTTATTTACCACCAAATAAACTAACAAAAGTAACAATGTTTCTCTTTTCTTTGATATTGATTTGATTCATTGATTGTTTAGGACCTTCAAAGCTGACGATAACACCAGAAAAGTGGAATTTGATCCTTTGCTCATGTTGTAATGTTTACAAGCTAAGCGAATAATGTGAAAATCAGTCACATTGAGTTACAGCTTTGAAAAAAAACTATTAGTCTTCTTGTTTTTTCATGTTTGTTGAACCAGATTTAATCCGAGCAACATAAAAGTTCAAAGTCAAACTAAAAAATATATAATACAAAAAGTAACTACTTTACTGATTTATATTTTTTATAATTATGTTACAATACTTTTCATTCAGACAAAGATCTTCACTGACATGTCAATTTAATTTTAGAGTACCCATTATTAGCCCCAAAGCCTTAAAAGTTGCAATCTAAATTCATTATGATTATCTTACTTCTGGAATGATCAGTCATTCTAAAGCACAGCAGATGTCACTTTCCTAAATGCAAAGTGGTGGTTTGGTTTCGGACACTCACCTGAGTGTAGTGCAATATGCAGGTTTCAGACAAGAAGTGAAAGGGATGTGGGGCTGCATTAAACCTACATTGCACAATGTAAACATAGATTGTTTATGATGATGTCAGACAACTCTTGCGCAGCACTGCACAGACACGACGCACTCTAACACATCCCGTAGCTTCACCAGAGATCGAAGAGCAAGCAAAACATCTCTCTCCCTCCTTTTTTTCTGTTACATATACTGTATAGTCAATTAACTAGCTGAGCAGACCAGACCATCTTGGCACTTCCCCACCATTGAAAAAAAATATTTTGGAAGCTATGCGACATTTATTATATTACAGACACCTTAATGCATACTTTTACATTGTATTATCTGAGCTACATACATGTTATTCTGTCCTTGAACCATTTAATTCAAATACTGTAGAATTCAATTCATTCCTATGGAGGACTGCTTCTTCTGAGGAGTGCCAATATGGCTGACCAGTGCCTTCAAAGCCTCTCATTGTCCAATAGATAGCATCAGCAATCCAGGGTTTATATACAGACCCAGCTGCTAATGCCACGTTAAAAACAACTGGGAACTCATAAATCTCAGACTTCTAACTTCAGTGTGTTCAAGACAACTGGGAACTTGGGGAAAAAAACTAGCTCTGACTGGGAAAAATCATTTTGAATGGTCATCCAACTCGGAATTCCAACTCGGGAACTGGCCTTTTTCTAGAGTTCCAACTTCCTGACCTGAAGATCACTGACATCATGATTTGACCTAGTATTTTTCGGAGTTCCCAGTTTTCTTGAATGCACCATAATGCATTGGTCTACCACAGTATGAGTCATAATACCCATAAAACCTAGTGGTCAAACACAGAAATGGTTACAATCGTTTTTCCACCATTCATTCATAAATAAGGTTACATGCCTCTATCAATGATCTGCTGTCCAGAGGGTAACAGTAAACAATGTTTTCCCGCAGTAAGCACACTCTTGACTCGAGAGGATGAATCAATCAATCTCTGAAACCTCAAAAAAACAGACTAAAATAATCCAGCTAGCTAGGGTAGGCTACCCACCCCTCACCCACAGACACAACAAACATTATCAAAAACGCCTAGCCCTAGCTTCCCCAAGTTAGCTACCAAGCTAGACTGTTGGTTTATAAAAACTTGTTTTTATTAATTTCTCACGCATTTAAATGGCTAGACAAATAGATGGCTATTAGCAATCTAGCCATGCTAATGTTGCTAACTAACCATGAGTTACCTAGCTAAATAACAGGCATTTTCAATTAACATTTGCCATAAGACAGTTCACAGAATTGTCCATTTTTAAACAACTTTAGCCAATTTATGAATGACTAAATATAGCTAACATTACACAGTTAATCCAGAGATTCTTACCTTTGCCTCGATTCTGCGGTCTCCTCCAGATCATCATGGCCCTGGTGAGACGTGAAAGCTTGAGACAGGCATTTGTAGTTCTGTATGATAGCATATTTGGCGTTTCATTTTTGTGGGGTAAATACATGCGAATATATTGATAAAAGTCACCTTGTCCAAGAGCGATTTGCACCGTTTTCAAAACATCACGCCAGGATATGTCTACACGAAACACAGTACTTATTTGAAGTGTTTCAAAAATCCACAACGGAAAAAATGAATGGTGAAAAAACGATTGGAACCATTTCCGTGTTTGACCGCTAGGTTTTATGGGTATAATGACGGGTCCACTGTGGGGCACAGTGGAGTTGTCATAATACCCATAAAACCTAGTGGTCAAACAGGGAAATGGTTCCAATCGTTTTTTCACCATTCATTTTATCCATTGTGGATTTTCATAAATAAAGTTTGATTGATGACATTACAGCTGTAGAATATTTAATAAACTGTAATTTTCAGTAGTGCAGTTTTTCATAAATTTTTAATTGATAACTTGGGATTTTATCACTTGACATATCAAATAGTGGGAAGGATCCTATAAATCAAGACTATATGAATGCATGTACCACTCCGAATAAATAAATACTGTGCCTTTGAAGATTTGTCTCTGGTTATGAAACTACAATACATTTACATTTACGTCATTTAGCAGACGCTCTTATCCAGAGCGACTTACAAATTGGTGCATTCACCTTATAGCCAGTGGGATAACCACTTTACAATGTTTTTTTTTTTTTTTTTGGGGGGGGGGGGGGTAGAAGGATGACTTTATCCTATCCCAGGTATTCCTTAAAGAGGTGGGGTTTCAAATGTCTCCGGAAGGTGGTGAGTGACTCCGCTGTCCTGGCGTCGTGAGGGAGCTTGTTCCACCATTGGAGTGCCAGAGCAGCGAACAGTTTTGACTGGGCTGAGCGGGAACTATGCTTCCGCAGAGGTAGGGGAGCCAGCAGGCCAGAGGTGGATGAACGCAATGCCCTCGTTTGGGTGTAGGGACTGATTAGAGCCTGAAGGTACGGAGGTGCCGTTCCCCTCACAGCTCCGTAGGCAAGCACCATGGTCTTGTAGCAAATGCAAGCTTCAACTGGAAGCCAGTGGAGTGTGCGGAGGAGCGGGGTGACGTGAGATAACTTGGGAAGGTTGAACACCAGACGGGCTGCGGCATTCTGGATGAGTTGTAGGGGTTTAATGGCACAGGCAGGGAGCCCAGCCAACAGCGAGTTGCAGTAATCCAGACGGGAGATGACTAAACAAAGTAAATTCTGGATTTCAATAGGTGTTTAGATTCATTCTTATCAATGACAACATTCTAGAACTGAGTTATCACTCATCTAAGTCTGGTATCTGGGGTAATTTAATGATTATACAGTGCATTCGGAAAGTATTCAGACCCCTTGACTTTTTCCACATTTTGTTACATTACAGACTTATTTTAAAATTGATTAAATTGTTTTTACCCCCTCATCAATCTACACACAATACCCCATAATGGACAAAGCAAAAACAGGTTTTTAGAATAATTTTTATTTATTTAACTAGGCAAGTCAGTTAAGAACAAATTCTTATTGACGACCTACACCGGCCAAACCCGGACGACGCTGGACCAATTGTGCGCCGCCCTATGGGACTCCCAATCACGGTCGGTTGTGATACAGCCTGGAATCGAACCAGGGGGTCTGTAGTGACGCCTCAAGCACTGAGATGCAGTGCCTTAGACCGCTGCGCCACTCGGGAGCCCAACATTTCTGAAAATGTATATAAAACATTTACATAAGTATTCAGACACTTTACTCAGTACTTTGTTGAAGCACCTTTGGCAGCGATTACAGCCTCAAGTCTTCTTGGGTTTAATGCTACAAGCTTGGCACACCTGTATTTGGGGAGTTTCTCCCATTCTTCTCTGCAGATCCTATTTTCAGGTCTCTCCAGAGCTGTGTTCGATCTGGTTCATGTCCGGGCTCTGGCTGGGCCACACAAGGACATTGAGACTTGTCCCGAAGCCACTCCTGTGTTGTCTTGGCTGTGTGCTTAGGGTTGTTGTTTTGTTGGAAGGTGAACCGTCGACCCAGTCTGAGGTCCTGAGCGCTCTGGAGCAGGTTTTCATCAAGGATCTCTTTGTACTTTGCTCCATTAATCTTTCCCTCAATCCTGACTAGTCTCCCAGTCCCTACCACTGAAAAACATCCCCACAGCATGATGCTGCCACCACCATGCTTCACCGTAGGGATGGTCCCAGGTATCCTCCAGACGTGATGCTTGGCATTCAGGCTAAAGAGTTCAATCTTGGTTTCATCAGACCAGAGAATCTTGTTTCTCATAGTCTGAGAGTCTTTAGGTGCCTTTTGGCAAACTCCAAACTGGCTGTCATGTGCCTTTTACTGAGGAGTTGCTTCCGTCTGGCCACTCTACCATAAAGGCCTGATAGGTGGAGCGCTGCAGAGATGGTTGCCTTCTGGACATTTCTTCCATCTCCACAGAGGAACTCTGGAGCTCTGTCAGATTGACCATTGGGTTCTTGGCCACCTCCCTGGTGGGACCAAGGCCCTTCTCTCCAGATTGCTCAGTTTGGCTGGGCGGCCAGCTCTAGGAAGAGTCTTGGTGGTTCCAAACTTCTTTCATTTAAGAATGATGGAGGCCACTGTGTTCTTGGGGACCTTCAATTCTGCAGACATTTTTTGGTACCTTTCCCCAGATCTGTGCCTCGACACAATCCTGTCTCGTAGCGCTACAGACAATTCCTTCAACCTCATGGCTTGGTTTTTGCTCTGACATGCACTGTCAACTGTGGGACCTTATATAGACAGGTGTGTGCCTTTCCAAATCATGTCCAATCAATTTAATTTACTACAGGTGGACTCCAAGCAAGTTGTGTAAATAAGGTATTTTATTTTGTTATTTTTCATAAATTTGCCAAAAATGCTAAAAACCTGTTTTCGCTTTGTCAATATGGGGTATTGTGTGTAGATTGATGAGGATTATTATTATTTTTTTAAATTTAGAATAAGGGTGTAAGTTTCTTTCCAAATCATGTCTAATCAATTGAATTTATCACAGGTGGACTCCAATCAAGTTGTAGAAACATTTCAAGGATGATCAATGGAAACAGGATGCACCTGAGCTCAATTTCGAGTCTCATAGCAGAGGGTCTGAATACTTATGTAAATAAGGTATTTCTGTTTTTTATGTTTTTTTTTTAAATTTGCTAAAATTTCTAAAAACCTGTTTTTCGCTTTGTCATTAAGGGGTATTGTGTGTAGAGTGAGGAAAAACATTCATTTAATCTATTTTAGAATAAGGCTGTAAAGAAACAAAATGTGGAAAAAGTCAAGGGGTCTAAATACTTTCCGAATGCACTGTATAATTGATTAAGTGGCTCTTTCCTTGTAGAATGCTGACAGCAGTATAAACATATTGTATTGCTAAGATGCTCAAACTTAACTCACCGACACAGGATCAACTTTAACCCTCATGCTGGCCCTGACCAAACTGGTAAGTTGCCCCTCAAGCTAGCTGTACTTCTCCACATGGCCAGACTTATAGTGATCTTCTCCCCTTTTAATGCTCTTATGCTCATCCTTGAAAAATGCCATAAGGTCTGAAATAGACACCAAAGTCGACATACTGTACAAACATTATCTAGGCTAAGTAATTTTAAATGATTTTATGATCTACTGCTCTGCTAGCTAAACAATTATCTAGGCAAAATAATACAAAAATATGTTCTGATCTACTGCTCTGCTAACTAGCTAGCTAAAGTGTAGTCAGTGGCTAACTAAGACAGAGAAAGGTGATGGAAGTTCAACACTTAATTAAATTAATTTAAATACAGCACATGGTTATCAAAACGTCACACCAAGGTAAGCCTACACCAAAGACACACATAATTTAAAAGCGTTTGTAAAATTCAGGTTGTGAAAATGTATGGAACCATTTCCACGTTTTACTGCTAGGTTTTATGGGGATTATGACCGTCCACTGTGGCAGACTATTGGGCAAAACAGACTGGGTTAGCTTAGATTGTTGACAACATGTAAACTATCAATCAATCAATCAATTTTATTTTATATAGCCCTTCTTACATCAGCTAATATCTCGAAGTGCTGTACAGAAACCCAGCCTAAAACCCCAAACAGCTAGTAATGCAGGTGTAGAAGCACGGTGGCTAGGAAAAACTCCCTAGAAAGGCAAAACCTAGGAAGAAACATAGAGAGGAACCAGGCTATGAGGGGTGGCCAGTCCTCTTCTGGCTGTGCCGGGTGGAGATTATAACAGAACCATGCCAAGATGTTCAAAAATGTTCATAAGTGACAAGCATGGTCAAATAATAATCAGGAATAAATCTCAGTTGGCTTTTCATAGCCGATCATTAGAGTTTAAAACAGCAGGTCTGGGACAGGTAGGGGTTCCATAACCGCAGGCAGAACAGTTTAAACTGGAATAGCAGCAAGGCCAGGCGGACTGGGGACAGCAAGGAGTTTTGTCTCCAATGTTTATTGAAAATATAAATACATTTGCACAATGAGCACTTGTCTCTCAAATACATAGTTACATTGTTGGCTAGCTAGCTAGTGAATTTTAGTAATATTAGCATAGATATGGCATCAGTCAAAACACCACAACACAAGATATGGTATCAAGAACAAGATAAAACTAGCTAAAATGAGCCACCTACGATGCCCCACATGGCAGCTTCTTGTCATTGTTGCTATCTGGTCTTCCAGAATCACAACAACACACGGACTTCTGCCCCATTGAAGCGTGCGCATCGTTTTCGTTGTCAGCTAACCAATCTATGGAAGAGCCACTCCTTAAGCAGACCGGAACTGTGACTATTTTTTTCAATGGTTAACGGCCTGAGTGGGACATCTTCGTTTATCCACCATCTTTGGCTTCACACCCAGTGCTTTGAATAAGGAAGTGAAACTATACAAATGGAGGGTGTGTCTTTTCTATCGAATTTATATTTTATTGAATAAAGTCCTCGTCGGATAATAATGGGGGACACAGCAAAGGATAAACGGCAGGAACAATTGAAGCGCTGGTCCGGTTCTAACACCGACAGAGAACCGGCTGTGCCCAGGCGAAGGTGGCGGGGCGATGTCGAGGATGCAGGCGGCTCGGAGGCCGTAAACAACGCCGTTTCAAAGGACCATTCTCAGGATGTGGAGGGAAGCAGATCGACCCCCGGGGAAGCCCATAGTCTTCTACTCAAACGAAGGTACTGTATTGTCAGATTGAATCATTACTAGCTAGCCAGCTAGCTAGGTTCTCGCTAGCTAGCTAGGACTAATACTATACCGGATGCTATTCAGGAATGCTGTGCGTGGGCTAGGCACTGCTAGCTAGCTTTGCTGATACTTGAATGTTTATCTCGCTAACTAACTATATCTGCAATCACAACAATGGCACAAACATACATGTGTGCTTGTCTACTGTCTAGTAGTAGATTTAGAACCGTTCTCTACAATATTCGACAGGATATGTAGCTAAAACACCCATGTTGGCTGGCTAGTCATTTTGGAAAGCTAGCAGGCAGTTAACTAGTCAGCCAGCAACATAGGTAGCTAACTACATATCTAGTTAGTTACAGTCCATCCCACTGTTGTTGACAACCACTGGGTTTAACATGGACTATTTGGAGGAGGGGAATATGATCTGCCTTTCATGTATACAAATAATGAGGTTTGACTAGCTGCCATGGAGTGCTGGTAAAATATTCACTTTAATATCCTGAGTAGTGTCACTAAATGATGACCTCTACTGTAGGAGGCGAGTGCGGTTTGATACTGCTGCAGAGTTCCTGGCAGCTTGTGCCAGTGGTGACACAGATGAGGCCCAGGAGATGCTGAAAGATGCAAGAAAGACAGAAGGCAAGAATGGAGACTATCAGGGAGAGGTTGTGAATTGTGCCAATGCTGACGGAATCACAGCTCTTCACCAGGTAAGGACTTGGGCCTTGTGGTAAATGAGTAGAATCTAGTGTCTGTGTATTGACTCTACAACCTATAGTCATACTGGAGCTATGAATATCATCATCCTCTCTCCTCATTTACTGTAGGCTTGTATAGATGGGAACATGGAGGTGATGGTCTTTCTCCTGGCTCAGGGTGCCAACATAAACCAGGTGGACAGTGAGGGCTGGACTCCACTGCATGTGGCAGCCACCTGTGGGAACCTGGAGATCACTGAGTATGTACAGTATATCACTTCAACATCAGGCACTAGAATAGGGACTACCTATGAAAACGTTCTACATTCCTCTGTTATAGTGTTGGGCAGTCGTTGCAATTGAGTTAACCTGATTTTATAGCCTTAGCCTAGCCTCCCTGTGCCAATGTTTCTCCATTCAACAATGCTGTATTGTTGTCTGGTACAGCAGGGCCGGTAAAGCTGGTCAACTGCTTTTTGTTTACTCTTGGTTATGTGGCCTGTTTCTCGGTTGTGGATGGTTTCAAACTCTCTTTTTCTATATCTCAGTTTCCTTTTGCAGCAGGGTGCGTCTCTCACTGCTGTGAACTGCGATGGCGACGTCCCCCTGGACATAGCTGAAGACGAGGCCACTGAGTCGCTCCTGCACCAATACACAGTGAGACACGGTGAGTGCTGTGCTGCCAACACAGGGAGGAAACAAAGGAGTGATTCAGGGTGATAAGTGTTGTGGTGTCTGATTTTATAAAGACTGACTTAGGTACAGAGAAGGAAGGGAAGCCAGGGCACACTCTTAGCACATTTTTGGCTTGTGATGCTGTCACGTTCCATGTCGAGCTAAACAAGAATAAGGCTCCCCCGTTTTCAATGGAGTTGAGAGGAAAAAGCTTATGATTACCACTTTTTCCGCATTGTTGTTGAGTTGTTGTTGATACATTTCATGCCCGTCTCTTGTTGTCTCAGGTGTGGATGTGGAGGCAGCTAAGCGGGTGGAGGAGGAACAGATCATGAACGACGCCAGAGCCTGGCTGACAGAGGGGCCTCCCTCAGAACTACGGCACCCCAAAACTGGGGCCACTCCACTGCATGTGGCTGCAGCCAAGGGCTACCTGGAAGCCATCAAGTGAGTGTCCATGGCTTGTCCATATTCTCAAAAAAAAAATATATTTATATACATTCTCTCTCCCTCCATTCTGACAAGCTCAATAACTATTGAGTTTATGGAAAAACAGGGCATTGTTAAAAAAAACAAACAAAATGGATGAACTCAATTGCATAGGCTTTCTGCTTTGCTCTCTGTACTAAGTCACTCTGTGTGTTCTTGTTGTGGTTCAGACTGCTGTGCCAGTGTGGGCTGGACGTGTCAGAGATGGACTGGGATGGCTGGACGCCTCTCCACGCAGCGGCACACTGGGGGCAGGGAGATGCCTGCAGGATACTGGCTGAACAGCTCTGCGACATGGAGGCCTGCAGCAATGGGGTGAGACCGACAGACATAGAGCCATACACATCTATACCAGTAGAGCACTTAACCCTAATTGCTCATGTAAGTCGCTCTGGATAAGAGCGTCTGCTAAATGACTAAAATGTAATGTAAATGTAGAGGCTGGTGGGAGGAGCTATCGGAGGACAAGGTCATGTTCCATTTATTCCATTCCAGCCATTACAATGAGCCCATCCTCCTATAGCTCGATATACTGGGAAATGTTGTCGACCACTTGTATACCAGGTGTCTAATATTTATGTTACTACTTTGAAATGCTAGGCTAGTATAACTTCACGTCATGTGGTAGGTAGTATGATGACACATACTGTCTTGCTGCTTCCATTTTATTTTCTATTTTTTTTGTATTTTTGTCTCCGTTTTGTAACGTCAACCCTGCAGGGCCAGACTCCGTTTGATGTCGCTGATGAGAGTGTTGTGTCACTGCTGGAGGAGCTGTCACAGAAACAAGCCAACGTGAGACTTCCTTTTTTTTGTCACTGTTCATGTGTGCAAAATATTTCTCTATAGATAGCCAATACAAAACTCCCTGATTGTGAAATATTAATAGTAGATTTCACATCTTATCAGAATAGTATCATTAAACTACCCATTTTTGCCATGTAATATTGGGCTGATCTGCAAAGGGCAGTGTTCCTATGTTTCTCTTACTGATGAGTGATGCTATCATGACTCTTGCTACTATGTTTGCCTTGCAATATTATTATTATGTGTGTTATCTAATGGCAATGGTCATATTTCTGTCACTGATGACCGTGTGTCCCTTCACAGTGGCGTAATGAGCAGTCCATCATGGACAGACAGAACCCTGCAGGCTCTACTGCTGCAAAAGCTGAGAACAAACGGCGGAGGTCAGTATATGCCTTATTACTGCTGCATCTTATTTTCTCCTGTGTTTCTTTTCCTCTTCTGATCTGTAGTCTTTATTTTGCAGTTAAACTGTAGTTGAAGTAAATGTGGTGGGCTTGACATCAAGTATCAAATACAGTGAGGGTAAAAAAGTATTTGATCCCCTGCTGATTTTGTACGTTTGCCCACTGACAAAGAAATGATCAGTCTATAATTTTAATGGTAGGTTTATTTAAACAGTGAGAGAATAACGATAAAAAATCCAGAAGAAATGCATGTCAAAAATGTTATAAATTGATTTGCATTTTAATGAGGGAAGTAAGGATTTGACCCCCTCGTAATCAAAAAGATTTCTGGCTCACAGGTGTCTTTTATACAGGTAACGAGCTGAGATTAGGAGCACACTCTTAAAGGGAGTGCTCCTAATCTCAGCTTGTTACCTGTATAAAAGACGCCTGTCCACAGAAGCAATTAATCAATCAGATTCCAAACTCTCCACCATGGCCAAGACCAAAGAGCTCTCCAAGGATGTCAGGGACAAGATTGTAGACCTACACAAGGCTGGAATGGGCTACAAGACCATCGGCAAGCAGCTTGGTGAGAAGGTGACAACAGTTGGTGCGATTATTCGCAAATGGAAGAAACACAAAATAACTGTCAATCTCCCTCGGCCTGGGGCTCCATGCAAGATCTCACCTCGTGGAGTTGCAATGATCATGAGAACGGTGAGGAATCAGCCCAGAACAACAGGGGAGGATCTTGTCAATGATCTCAAGGCAGCTGGGACCATAGTCACCAAGAAAACAATTGGTAATACACTACGCGGTGAAGGACTGAAATCCTGCAGCGCCCGCAATATCCCCCTGCTCAAGAAAGCACATATACAGGCCCGTCTGAAGTTTGCCAATGAACATCGGAATGATTCAGAGGAGAACTGGGTGAAAGTGTTGTGGTCAGATGAGACCAAAATGGAGCTCTTTGGCATCAACTCAACTTGCCGTGTTTAGAGGAGGAGGAGGAGGAATGCTGCCTATGACCCGAAGAACACCATCCCCACCGTCAAACATGGTGCTGGAAACATTATGCTTTGGGGGTGTTTTTCTGCTAAGGGGACAGGACAACTTCACCGCATCAAAGGGACGATGGACGGGGTCATGTACTGTCAAATCTTGGGTGAGAACCTCCTTCCCTCAGCCAGGGCATTGAAAATGGGTCGTGGATGGGTATTCCAGCATGACAATGACCCAAAACACAGGGCCAAGGCAACAAAGGAGTGGCTCAAGAAGAAACACATTAAGGTCCTGGAGTGGCCTAGCCAGTCTCCAGACCTTAATCCCATAGAAAATCTGTGGAGGGAGCTGAAGGTTCGAGTTGCCAAACGTCAGCCTCGAAACCTTAATGACTTGGAGAAGATCTGCAAAGAGGAGTGGAATAAAATCCCTCCTGAGATGTGTGCAAACCTGGTGGTCAACTCCAAGAAACGTCTGACCTCTGTGATTGCCAACAAGGGTTTTGCCACCAAGTACTAAGTCAGGTTTTGCAGAGGGGTCAAATACTTATTTCCCTCATTAAAATGCAAATCAATTCATAACATTTTTGACATGCGTTTTTCTGAACGAGAGCACACTTCTGGAGAAGGGTAGAGAAATGCTGATAATAGTCATCTGTGTGTGTTTCAGGAGCGCAGTGAGCAGAATGAGCAGCAGGGAAAAGATGAACGTGCTGGACCAGTCTAAAGAGAGGAGGTCTGAAGGCCTGGAGCTCAGCGAGGAGAAAGAGAGCAGCCCTGGTATATAATATGGCTGGTCACACACACAGACACACATACATCTGCTTTCATGAAGAATGAAGACTTATTGAAGTCCATTTTCACATTTTAAAAGGCTCAGGTCAAGTGGTATGGCAATTATGAATACCCAGTCATGAATACCCACTGACCAGAGTACACTTCCTGTTTGTCTTTCTTAGAAAGCTCCACTCTATCCAGTCCAGACACAGAGAGTGCCACCTCCACCGTCAGCCCTGCTGAGAAGGTAAGACATGTCTCAATGTATCTTAAGCTGTACGGTAGATGTTGTGTAGTCTACCTGGGTCTGTCGTGCTTTACACATTTAGTTATTTTTTATTTTGTATCTTAGCTGTTGATTATCACAAAATTGTCCTTTCCATTTGAATGTCAAGAAAATGTTGAATCATAAGCCTAGCAACAGTGAATCGATGACTGTCAAGAGGAATGTTATTATTTTCCTGTATTGATTATGGTCCTGTCTTGCCTGTGTTCCAGCAGACTCCAGAGGAGAAGGATGTGGAGGAGCGGGACCAGGACAGAGCCAGCCGTACGGCCCGGGTCCAGCCCACCCCCCAGAGGAAAGACCCCCTGGCTGACAGTCCCAACAACACCAACCCAGACAGACGGAAGTAAGAGCCACACAACACACAGTAAACACACATTAAAGCTTAGTGGCCTGGCACAACTATAGGGAAGATATGTGAATAGTTGGTGTAGCAGGAGGCAGGGTGTGGTACATAAGAGGGAAGTGATGATGGGAGCTAACGAATGAAAGACGCTCAACACAGGCATTTGTTAAAGCACTATCAATGTGTTTTAGTAGAGTGTGTGGATGTCTTCTGCTGTAAATGGAGTGGGTGTGCTTTTATTGAGCTGTATGGATGTGTTCTTTTGGAGCATTCTGAATATACGTCTTCTAATGGAGCTGTGTGGATGTGTTCTTTTGGAACATTCTAAATCTAAGCAGGGCCATAACTATAGAGCTGAAAATTTGCATGGACCTTATGTGCCAATATGAATTGCGATTCATAGGTCCGGACTTCTGTAATTAAATCAAATATTTTATACATAATAAAGAAAATCAATTGTGGGTCAACATCTAAGTATTGCATCCAGCATGGATCAGCGCTCGGAACGCTTTTTATTTTTTATCTGACTGAGTTCTAATCTTACCTGCCTCTTTGTGAAGGGGTGGAATAATGAACAGTGGTGTGTTCGTGATGTTCGCCTGCGTCCCCCGGATTAGCCTTTTTAGCAGCACATTTGCCACTCTCTCAAACGGCTAACTCCGCCCTCTCGCAGCACTGGCCGAGGGCCTGAGACGTGAAACTAACTACCCCATGTCGGAGTCGGCTAAAGTAGTCAACTAGAGATGCCGGACAAAAGGCAATTTACAGACATCCCCCAAATAAAAACCAACTTGGTGAATGAATGCACAACTGGTAAATAGTCCCTTATAGATATGTCAGTCAGTCAGGTGGCTAGCTGCCGGCAGAGACTTATATTTCAGTAACGTTGAAGGGGCTCTGGCTAGTATTATTTATCCAGCTAGAACAGGGGTGTCAAACTCATTCCATGGAGGGCCGAGTGTCTGCGGGTTTTTGTTTTTTCCTTTCAATTAAGACCTAGACAACCAGGTGAGGGGAGTTCCTTACTAATTTCTGACCTTAATTCATCAATCAAGTACAAAGGTGGTACGAAAACCCGCAGACACTCAGCCCTCCGTGGAATGAGTTTGACTCGTGTGCTAGAAGGATGAAGTATGAAGCTAATGTAAAACAGAGCGTACCTCAGCAGGAGCAAAAAATAGGCTACTAAGTTATCATAATAACTTTGCTTTACAGAGAGTAGGCTACTGAGACAGACATTGATATGGCGCTCAGTGGTGAAGTTGAGGCAGGCTGAAATGCATGCAGGAGACTACAGAGAGTGGAAGCAAGCAGAGAGAGCGGTTAGTACAGTGGTTCCCAAACTTTAAGGTCGGGGGCTCTTGTGGAAAATTTGAGAAAATCTGTACAAATCTTATCAAAAAAGTTAGGAACCAAAAATAAGATATGAACATCTCCACATAGCGTATCTTTCATTTAGGCCTACATTCAAATGCAATAAGAATGCAAACAATACAGTTCTAAAAAAGTTTTTGTTTATATCGGTGGTAGTCTTCCACTGGAGTTTAGTTTACCCAATACCCACCATTTTTTACCACTACATCACTGATGTTAATACAGAGTCGTAAGTAATATTCTAATAATTCATGTGAATGTGATAATACGATCATCTGTGTGCTCCATTGATGTCTGTTTGTGCGGAGCTTGATTAGTAATGCCTAGGAATACAAATGTGAACGCTATGTAATTTCAGAAAATTGATATCTATGTAAAAAGTTGATGATTTTATGCAATTCATAATTACAACTAACTGAACATTCACTGTTACGTGTCAGTGTGAATAATTTCTGATTCAGTTTATTTAATTGTATTGAAATGCAAAAAGTTCCCTCACTAAAACTAAAACCCTTGTTACGGTTCGGAATCTAAGGGTTCTAATGGAATGGAGCTGTGTGGATGGATTCTTTTGGACCATTCTGATTCTAAGGGTTCTAATGGAGCTGTGTGGATGTTCTTTTGGAGCATTCTGAATCTACGGGTTCTAATGGAGCTGTGTGGATTTGTTCTTTTGGAGCATTCTGAATCTAAGGGTTCTAATGGAGCTGTGTGGATGTTTGCCCCTCAGGTTCCAGGCCCCAGTAAGAGACGAGGAGTCTGAGTCTCAGAGGAAAGCGCGATCACGCCTCATGCGCCAGTCTCGCCGCTCCACACAGGTACTGGCCACAATAAACCATCACTTTACGTCTCTTACAGAGGACTTAAAATGGATCTCGTCACCTTAACTAACCACCTTTCAGCATAAATAATAAACATGATTTTTGCTTGTTTCCTGTGACAGGGTGTGACGCTCACTGACTTGAAGGAGGCAGAGAAGAGCGTGGCCAAACCAGCTGATCCATCACCTAGCAACATCCTGCATGTCAGTCCTATAGTCACTATAACACCTGCTGAGAGAGGTGAGTGGGACTGTGGTGGAAAAAATGTGCTGTTTTCATTTATTATTAATAGTAATGCCATTCAGGAAGACAAGATTATGAAAACATCAAGTTGGCAATATCAGATGCATGCCCTAGCCTTGCCTTAGTGTCTGTCAAGGGCTCAAAACTGCGACCAAAACTGGTATTTGCGACCCTTTGACAGTACAACACACATTTTTAATTGGTCGCTAGGGTGCCAGTGATTTATTTTTTTTTTTGTTGTTGCTGGTCACGTTAGTTTTTGGTTCACAATTTGCAACTTTTTTTTATTATCAAGGTATGCAACAATGGGTATGCAGACCAGGGATTCATAAAGTTTGAATGAACATTTCTAAGGCCTTGCCAATGAAATGTTGACTGCAATGTAGGCCTACCTGCCAAATGATATCTTGATGATTTGTAACAATTGCAGGGCATTTGTTTAGCAAACTCTGCCATCACATATAGCCTACATTGTACATTACAAAAACACCGCTAGCCAAACACAATGGTCTCTTGCTAGGCGCACAATTTAATTAAAGGGCAACTACACCCTCCAAATAGTTTTTTGTTGTTGTTCCCAGACCTCAAGTGTTCTCCCGATTTGTGGTTTAAGCATTGTTGTGGACTAAGAACATCACATTTTAGCAGTTTTTCTATAAAAAAAAAAAAAGTGATTTTGAGAGTGAAAACCGGGAAAACAGAATTTCACAAAAGATGCAACATATTTTATAGGGCCCTACAATCGCTAGCAATAACACCCTTTTTGGGATTGTTCAATGTTTTGTATGGAGGGTAGGTCATTATAGGCCAGGGCTCTCCAACCCTGTCCCTGGAGGTTTTTATTTAAACCCCAGTTCTAACTAACCTGATTCAGCTTATCAACCAGCTAATTAGAATCAGGTGCGCTAGATTAGTGTTGGAGCGAAAACATACAGGACGGTATCTCTCCAGGAACAGGGTTAGAGAGCCCTTCTATAGGCTACTTACGCAGCCTGAAAATTAAACATAACATTTAATTGATGAGCGCATCATCCGCTTTCCATGGCCAGCATTCTTTTAATTCGTGCCCAGTAACATTCAGTTGGCATTGGCCCAGTGTGCCACTGGCAAATGTATCTGAATGTCACCCTGCAAGGGCATGCAAATTTAAAAGATGGCTAGTCATTATTAGCCTGGTTCTTTTGGAATGCAGATACATTATGGGACACAGGTCAGGTCATTATCGGCGCGCCGCGGCAAAAAATTGGGGCAACCAAATCATGTGCTGGTGCCGTCAACTGAAGAAGTTGGTAGCACCAGTGCCACCGGTGGGAAAAGTTAGTTTAGAGCCGTGCTGTTGAATGCCTTTGTGATCTAGCAATGTCATTCTGTTCCTATTCTATTGTAGACACTGACCCAGCGAAGGAGGTCGGGCCCGAGGGAGAGACGCGGCTAGGAGTGAGGGACCGACGGAAGGGGAGGAGAGAGCGACGCTCCACTGGGGTGGTTCAGCTAGGGGTACGCGGAGGAACCCCATCATACATATTCATAGTATTCGTGCTAGAGCTATTGATGTCCTTGTTCTAATTGTTTGACCATTTCCTCTTTGTATAAACTGATTGAACTTTAATTTGACTATCAGCCAATATCATAGACAACCTCACTCTTTCTTGTCCACATCCAACAAGCCACAAGTACAAAATAAATGTAATGTCCTACAAAGACAAAGAGGAAATGACACAGTATGTCCTAACCTCATACTCAGAACAGGAACCCCATACCTGACCTGAAATGCTGTTTTTTCCCCTTTTTCAGTTGTGTAATTGCTATATTTCTGTATTTTAACTGCTTTATAATGTAGGCCTGAAGATAGGACTTTTCCCCCACACTAAATGTTGGAATCTGATTCTTTGTTACAAAAGTGGTCTTGTATTACCATACCTGGTAAATATTAGTGGTCAATGTCAAACGTACCATTGTCAACATGTTATTTGTTACAATAGTCATTATTCACTATATATATTTTTTAAATAAGAATGAACATTTGGATGCAATGGATGAAGCACAACAGGATGAAAGCCACCGTCATAGTTCACCCAGGTAAGTGTTTTTCATTTCTATACTATAGTATACTGAATTACTATACCTCTCTATATTGAGTAAACCATGTACCCTATGTCTATCTTTGCAGTGAGCCTCAGTTGGGAGATTTTTCACCAGACTACAAAATGGTATGGCATTGTTGACAACTCCCAGTGATTTAAATACACACATTCTTCAGGCACTTGAGAGATGGTAGCTAAGGTTTTAATATGTGAGAGAAAAACAGGCTCTAAAGAGGGGAATGAATAGACACAGCTGACTAGCTGTGAAATAGGAGTTTAAACCACGTAAACTGAATGTATTTACAACTGCAGTGGCTAGGCTATATCCAGGCTGATGTCCTCTGCCTTTGACCGACTCCCTGTTTGGTGTCGCCCTCTAGCTGTACACGTCGGTGCTGCAGGAGAACGGCCTGCTTAGAGACAAGCTGCAGGAGACGGCGCTGGTGCTCAGCCAGAGCAAAGTGGAGCTGGAGAGACTCCGACAGGTGAGGATATGATCCTCTCTGGATGTTAATGGCCATGTTGTACAGCAAAGCCATGTGCCATGACTCTTTCCCTAGTCTTCTCTCGCTCATAACTACAGATAGGGAACTACAGATAAGTCTGGATATGATTATCAGGTATTCCGTTTCATTATAAACTGGGTGGTTCGAGCCCTGAATGCTGATTGGCTGACAGCTGTGGTATATCAGACTGTATACCACGGTTATGACAAAAGTTATTTTTACTGCTCTAATTACGTTGGTAAACAGTTTATAATAGCAATAAGGCACCTCTGGGGTTTGTGATATATAGCCAATATACCACGGCTAAGGGCTGTGTCCAGGCACTCCGCGTTGCGTCGTACATAAGAACAGCCGTGGTATATTGACCATATATCACAAACCCCAGAGGTGCCTTATTGCTTAAATATATTAGATCCACATAGCAGTGGAAAGGAGGGAGAAGAGGGGTATTGGGACAGATCCTAGAAGTGCTGTCGCTGGTCATGTGGCGGGACCTGACTGTATTCTGTGTCCGCCTCTGACAATGTGGAGGGAAGTTGTGTAACACAAACAATACACAGTATTGTATGAACACAAAGATGGATTCCAGATTATAGCACACAGAATGTGTCGGCATTATACCGCTCAGCTTCTGTGTTGCGCTGTGCATGTCACACAATAGCCCTGTTGTAACTGTGTGTCTGTTTCCATTGCAGAGTCAAGAGAGCAACACAGAGAGGCCGGCCCTGCAGGAACTGGAGAGATTTGTGAGTCCCGTCTTAAACTGTCTGTATTCAGGTTTAGGGTCCATTTCACTTTTAGCTTTCCAATTCAGGAAATTATTTATTTATTGGATCAGTTGAGGTCAAATGGAATATAACCTAATGTCATTAGCCGTAAAGGCTGCATACCTGTGTGGGAGTGAGTTATAAAATCAGTATCTGTTTTTCTCGCAGGAGAAGAGAGCACTCCAGAGAAAAGCAGTGGAACTGGAGGATGAACTGAAGGTATAAGGGAATTGTTCAGTCACTGGGGCTAGCCTATTTAACTCATATTTTGTCTGTTCAAACTTTAATTAACCTGCATAATTGTTAGCAAACTACCCCAAACACTAACCATAAGCTACCCCAAACTATTAAACAACCCAAAACAACCTCAAAAACACTAACCACATAAAAGTACTCAAAACAACTCCAAATTACACAAACACGACAATCTACCCCAAACACTAACCAAAACTTCCCCAAAATTTGTGCTGAGAATATTGTTATATTCTGTACTGTTCTACATTGCATTATCTGTAACATCACACACAATAACCAATAGATTTCCATCAACTGATCATGATAAACAAAATCGTTGTTTGACTCCCCTCCCTTGTTATCGTATATTTCTAGGTGCTGGTGGATCTCCGAGCAGACAACCAGAGGCTAAAGGACGAGAATGCCGCTCTCATCCGCGTCATCAGCAAACTCTCGAAATGAGCCTCATCTGCCAAACCTCTATACGGAGAAAAGTGTTAAAAGTTCCTGTCTCTTGCCCAACTCACAAGGCACATACCGGGAACAAAACCCAGCATAAAAAAACAGCGTTCTGCTCTGATAGAAGACCAACGATGCATTTGTTCAATGACATTTTGGGATTTATAACTGGATAGTTTTTGCAGGGTTGTTATTCGCCTTTGCGTTGACTTCACTCGTTACTCGATCTACTGTATAACAAGCTGAACTGCACCTCCTATGGATTCACAGGGTACTGTAGGGTGTTCCTGTTCAAATTCTGAAATAAGTTGATCTTTTTTTGTTTTTCAGACTGAAATATTTTGTGCTTCGCTTCTGCATTACCTTGTTTAAGGATACATGTGTTTTTAAGATATTTTAATAACCATGCAAAGTGCGCGCTTACGATAACATGATTTTACTCCAGAGTATATACCACTAGACACCTAAAAAGGACTGGGGGGGGCGATGCCAACGTCAGGTCCTTCAGTTCTGAGGAGAAGGTTGTTATTAGGTTTTGACATGCATATTCCACAAAAATGTGCCAAACACACACACCAATTTCCTGCTTGTTTGGCATGTTGTTTGGGGAAAGGTGAAGTGATTGGTTTGTCTCTCTCAGGACGAGTCTGGGTCAATACTGTACTTGAGCTGACTACTGTTAAAGTTGGACCAAACTGTATGCGCATGCTACTTTTTTTCTCTCCTTTGAATGTATATTTATGTGTATATTTATGTACAGGGGCCCTCTCCTCATCCAGTGATGTAGTAGTAATGGTCTCTTTTATTTAGAAAAGGACGGAGATGGTGGGCGCTCATACTGTGACAGAGACCTGTTAGTTAGTAGACAGGCAAGATGGGTCAAGTCTTTTGAATGTTTACTGCGTTTTTTTTAAATGCATGCCAAATTGTATTTTGACAATGTGCCTTTCTATATATATTTGTAATTAATATTTACACAACGTCAAAAATAAAATACAGTATGGTAACTTAAGCTCGCCATCTTGCCCGCCACAATTCCTGTGAGGTGAAGAGAATAAAACTCATGATCAACACCTTACCTAATGGAGACATTAGGGAAGCACTGAATGTGCAAGACAATGCAAATGTTATTTATATTGTGCTTTTCATTAAAGGTCCAATGCAGCTGTTTTTATCTCAATATCAAATCATTTTTGGGTAACAAGTACCTTACTGTGACGGTTTTCAATTAAAATGATGAAAAATAAACAGAGCTTCTTAGCAAAGAGCAATTAACAAGCAAGCATTTTGCTAGGTCTGTCTGGAAGTGATCTGAGTGGGGAGGGGGAAACTGAAAACTAAAGGTTTAGAACTCTCTTTCTTATTGGTCTATTAACTAATTTAAACACCTGGTGATGTCACCAGGTAGGCCAAAACTCCATCCCACCAAAACAGGCTGAAATGTCAGGCAGTCTTTTCAAACAGCTCTTGCACTAAAAGGGTATTATCATTTTCACAATATTATTCCAACCTCATAGTGTGGAAATATATATATATATATATATAACACAGGAGAATCAAGTTTTTACTGCACTGGACTTTTAAAGAGGACTCTTAGTAGGTCAAGACCAAGATACATTAATAATTACATCACAATCAGTAATGACTGAGTTTGAGTTTCCTATTTTTTGCAACACTTGCAAGTGTATCGTTTTACAAAATACAACATATCCACTAGATAAAGGCTCTCCAACCCTGTTCCTGGAGAGCTACTGTCCTGTAGGTTTTCACTCCAACCCTAATCTAGCGCACCTGATTCTAGTAATTATATAGAAATAGTGACGCTGAAATTGAAAATCATTCAACTAAATAATTAGGATTTTTATCAGCCTAATCGAGGTGTAGATTACATCTCACGTTCCAGTGTTCCATCTTGTAAACAAGGCTGCATGGGTTTTCTCTTTTTATATATATATAGAGAGAGTAGATGTCCGTAATGGCACGAAAATTCAATTTGCATATTTAAAAAATCCCCATCAAAATCCATCTGTTTAAGCAGCAGTGTTTGTCAGACCAGGCGACATCCGAAAATTGGTCTTCTCATGAAAACGTCTGTAGCGTCCAAACGGTTTGGCCCTTATAAAAATGTACCATGGTACTACTATGGTGCTTTCACTTATACCATGGAAATGTACAATGGTTTTAGCATTGAAGTATGATGGTCTAACATGGTACTGCATAAACTGTCAGAAACTGTCTCAGGGAATCCAAACAAAGGTGTTTGAGTGTATATGGTGGGCATATTGGATTACTAACATAGTTGAAGTACATAGAAATTGTCTTGAGTACAGGTCATAAGTACTGTACAAAAATCAAAAAAATGTCTCATTTAATACATGTACATATAAAGGTAATTAAACCATCATTTAATGGTAATGTGGCAGCCATGTTGGATTTGGAGTCAAATCTAGGGGGACCCCCTAACGTAATTGCAAGAGTAGTGGCTAAACATATAAAATCCACAGAGGAACCTTTGACTGGAAATAAATTCAGTTTTCAGTGTCTGACTTTAGAGCTGATTACAATAGCCACATCATCAAAAAACGTTACTGTATGCATTTTTGTCAGACAGGACCATACAGCACTGAATGACAGCAAATTTGACATTGAAAGTTGTCGATTGAACAGCTACCAAAAAGTTTATATTTCCGCCTATTGTACAGTGGGGGAAAAAAGTATTTAGTCAGCCACCAATTGAGCAAGTTCTCCCACTTAAAAAGACGAGAGAGGCCTGTAATTTTCATCATAGGTACACGTCAACTATGACAGACAAAATGAGAAAATAAATTCCAGAAAATCACATTGTAGGATTTTTTATGAATTTATTTGCAAATTATGGTGGAAAATAAGTATTTGGTCAATAACAAAAGTTTCTCAATACTTTGTTATATACCGTTTGTTGGCAATGACACAGGTCAAACGTTTTCTGTAAGTCTTCACAAGGTTTTCACACACTGTTGCTGGTATTTTGGCCCATTCCTCCATGCAGATCTCCTCTAGAGCAGTGATGTTTTGGGGCTGTCGCTGGGCAACACGGACTTTCAACTCCCTCCAAAGATTTTCTATGGGGTTGAGATCTGGAGACTGGCTAGGCCACTCCAGGACCTTGAAATGCTTCTTACGAAGCCACTCCTTCGTTGCCCGGGCGGTGTGTTTGGGATCATTGTCATGCTGAAAGACCCAACCACGTTTCATCTTCAATGCCCTTGCTGATGGAAGGAGGTTTTCACTCAAAATCTCACGATACATGGCCCCATTCATTCTTTCCTTTACACGGATCAGTCGTCCTGGTCCCTTTGCAGAAAAACAGCCCCAAAGCATGATGTTTCCACCCCCATGCTTCACAGTAGGTATGGTGTTCTTTGGATGCAACTCAGCATTCTTTGTCCTCCAAACACGACAAGTTTAGTTTTTACCAAAAAGTTCTATTTTGGTTTCATCTGACCATATGACATTCTCCCAATCCTCTTCTGGATCATCCAAATGCACTCTAGCAAACTTCAGACGGGCCTGGACATGTACTGGCTTAAGCAGGGGGACACGACTGGCACTGCAGGATTTGAGTCCCTGGCGGCGTAGTGTGTTACTGATGGTAGGCTTTGTTACTTTGGTCCCAGCTCTCTGCAGGTCTTTCACTAGGTCCCCCCGTGTGGTTCTGGGATTTTTGCTCACCGTTCTTGTGATCATTTTGACCCCACGGGGTGAGATCTTGCGTGGAGCCCCAGATCGAGGGAGATTATCAGTGGTCTTGTATGTCTTCCATTTCCTAATAATTGCTCCCACAGTTGATTTCTTCAAACCAAGCTGCTTACCTATTGCAGATTCAGTCTTCCCAGCCTGGTGCAGGTCTACAATTTTGTTTCTGGTGTCCTTTGACAGCTCTTTGGTCTTGGCCATAGTGGAGTTTGGAGTGTGACTGTTTGAGGTTGTGGACAGGTGTCTTTTATACTGATAACAAGTTCAAACAGGTGTCATTAATACAGGTAACGAGTGGAGGACAGAGGAGCCTCTTAAAGAAGAAGTTACAGGTCTGTGAGAGCCAGAAATCTTGCTTGTTTGTAGGTGACCAAATACTTATTTTCCACCATAATTTGCAAATAAATTCATAAAAAATCCTACAATGTGATTTTCTGGATTTTTTTCTCTCAATTTGTCTGTCATAGTTGACGTGTACCTATGATGAAAATTACAGGCCTCTCTCATCTTTTTAAGTGGGAGAACTTGCAGAATTGGTGGCTGACTAAATACTTTTTTCCCCACTGTATCTGTGTGCTTACAGGTCTATTTCGTAAACGCTTTAAGATATCCTAATGCAGGGGTGTCAAACTCATTTTAGCTCAGGGGCCACATGGAGGAAAATCTATTCCCAAGTGGGCCGGACCGGTAAAATCATGGTATATATAACTTAAAAACAACATCTTCAGATTGTTTTCTTTGTTTTAATACGATCAACATAAAACATAAAGCTGGAGCCTGAGGACAGTGTCCAAAATAGTACAAGCACAACATCACTATTAATCATAAAACACCTCAAGTTATTTGAGGACAAAGAACACACAAACACACAATGCCTCAGTGATTCACAGAAGTATATCACAGATCACAGAACTATATCAGGGTGTCTCATGCAGCACTTTAAGTGGGGTTGCATAGTTTATTTGACTCCTGATACCTGGCATCTTTTAGCTTTCACCAGCGCATCAATATCAGGCGTCACATCCTGAGTGGCAGCCAACTTCAGGATGTGATTCAAGTGCTTGTGCGTGAGCCTTGAGCGCAGCTTTGTTTTATTTATGCTCATTACAGAGAACTTGCTCACAAAGATATGTGGTTCCAAACATGCACAACAGTTTTGCAGCGTGGGCTGTCAAGTTGGGGTAACCTGGCAAGAGATTCTGATAAAATATGTCCAAGCCAGCTGCGGCAAATTTGCCCTTCAAATCCGAGTCACACTGCAAGTCTATTATTTCAAGTTGGATGCTGACGGGCAGATCAGAGGGATTCACGGTGAATGGCGAGCAAAAAACGTTGAAGTCTTTCTCCTGTTCACCAAAAATCTGAAAGCATTGCTCAAACTCCCGTAACAGTCCCATTATTTTATCTTTGAACCGCTTCATGTCTGCCACGTTGGGTCGCGCACACATTTTTCAGACAGGGGAAGTGAGCTGCATCACCACCGGCGAGTTGCGTCTCCCACAATGACAGCTTCAACTTGAAAGAACATATGCTGTCATAATACTGCGTGACAACTTTGTTGCGCCCTTGCAGCTGTTTGTTCAAGTTATTCAGGTGCTCTGTAACATCCACCATAAATGCAAGGTCCTGCATCCATTCTGCGGAATGAAATTCTAACACTGGTTTGCCCTTTTCTTCCATGAACTGTTCAATTTCTTCTCGTAAATCAAAGAAACGCCTCAGCACAGCACCTCGGCTTAACCATCTTACCTCAGTGTGGTATGGCAGGCCATTGATGTGGTATTTCTCTCTGAGAAGACTGTAAAACTGACGGTGATTCAGGCTTCTGGATCGGATGAAATTAACAGTTTGGATGACCACCTTCATGACGTTATCCATCTTTAATGACTTGCAACACAAAGCCTCCTGGTGCAAAATACAGTGAAAAGTCAAAAAATCATGTCCTCCATTTTCAGATTGTACTTTCTCTCTGAACTTTGTCACAATGCCTGCTTTTTTCCCGATCATTGAGGGCGCACCATCTGTAGCCAGGGTGACAGCGCGGGACCAGTCCACTCCGACCCTTATCCAGCGCGCCGACGAGTGCGGTGAAAATATCAGCTGCTGTCGTTTTATCTGTCATCGGCACCAACTCCACAAACTCCTCGTGACGGTCAATGTGTCATCAACTCCGCGGATGAAAATGGCCAGTTGTGCAACATCTGTAATGTCCGTGCTTTCATCAATTGCAACCGAAAACGCAATAAATGACTTTACTTTTTGCTTCAACTGGCTGTCCAAATCCACTGAAAGATCGGAAATCCTGTCTGCAACTGTGTTTCTGGTCAGGCTGATATTTGCAAAAGCCTGGCGCTTTTCAGGGCACACAATCTCCGCTGCCTTCATCATGCATGTTTTTACAAATTCACCCTCACTAAATGGTTTTGAAGCCACTGCGATTTCATTAGCAATGAGGTAGCTAGCTTTCACTGC